TCAGTGCAATATATTTCACTAAGATAACATATGGGCATTTCCATATCTTAGCCTTTTTCTACTTATGTATATATATATTATTTCATATTATAAGTAATATAAGGATGATGTAAACCTCATTGTATTGACACCTGCCTATCAACGTACTAAACTAAATGTACTTGAAAAGTTGTTGTCTTAACCACATATCTTAAAACCAAGAACTTTGTAACAGTATCAATGTCAGTGTTAAGCTCAAACTCACCTTCCTTTAGTGAATGTGGAGGAGTGAAGTAGTGAAAAAACATACCACTATAATTATGAGCCTGGGTTTTGCTGTCCAGTAGCCCTGGGTTTAATTCCTAGTTCTAGCCCATGCCGGTGACACTAAGTTATTTAACCTCCTGTGCCCTAATTCTGCAAACCAAAGAAGGTTGTCTAGGGTTAAATGTGATAATGTATGTATAGTGCTTAGTACTGATAAAACAGTTTGTAAAGATCACAATTTTCAATAGATTGGCTGCTGAGCCAGATTGGGTATTCCAGTTCTAAAAGGCTACATCAAAATTATCTACTAGCTTTATTTGAAAGTATAGCATGTTAGACATTTTCCTGAAAAGTGACATTTCTACATTTTTCTAAAAAAAAAAAAAAAAAAAAACCCAGATGATTATGCATCATCTTAAATTTATATTTATAAACTTTATATTCATAAACTTTATTAGTATATTACAATTTGAAAGTATAGCATGTTAGACATTTTCCTGAAAAGTGACATTTCTACATTTTTCTAAAAAAAAAAAAAAAAACCCAGATGATTATGCATCATCTTAAATTTATATTTATAAACTTTATATCCATAAACTTTATTAGTATATTACATTTTATAGATGAAGATATTAAATTATCTACTTGTACAGTAATTTAAATCAAAGTATTTTATTTATACCTCATTTATATTTATTAACTTGTATTTCATTTATAGATATTCCAGGATCAGAGGCAACTGAAGTTAAGGTTGATATGTAAATTCTGATTTTTCTCAACTGGATAGAAAAGAATACAAACATTTATAGAGTACATGAAGTTGAACTTTTATTTGGAAAGCTGAATTTCATGTATAATGAAAATATTTTTAAACCATACTTGTTCGTAAGCATAATACAAACACCACCTACAATACAAACACATTTTAATAAAGTTCTACTGACTTAAATTAATTTAAGCCCCCAAAAAAGGTAATCAGGTGAATCCATACTACATATCTTTTATCTCTTTTGTTGATGTAATCAAACTATTTAAGGTACAAAACAAAGTAAGCTTTGGCTCGACCTTACTTACTTTGCTATAGGAACACTATAATCTATTCTACCACAGATAACAAAATCAATCCCATTATAATCAATTTTAAATGGTTACAACAATCATATCTTAATGGCATGTAAACATATTCAGGGTTTCAATTGGCAATTATGTTTTAAATGCTTAGAAAAACACACCAACATTTCTCATTATTGTCCTCTCTTTAGCTTCTCTCTTCCATGAGTATAAAATAGGAGAAAAATATTATTTGAGACTTCCAGCATAATTTCATTGTGCTCTACATTTTTATAAACATGGGAACATCTAAAATATCAGATGCCTTTATACCAATAGAATAAATCCACCAAATTCACATTTTCTTATAAATACGCATGCAAAATCAGTGGCAAACACTTTTGTATAGCAAAGACCCTGCTTAATTTTCTTCTGATTAATAATTTTCAATGGCACGTGCAAATCATACTGCTCATTGAACAGTAGATTTATTTTCTGTAGATTTGTTTTTTTTATAAAAATATATTTATGTGCTCACAGGAAAAAAGTTGAGTTGGTGCGTGGGGGTGACTTTTTGATACATAATTAGATTATAGGTTTGTTTATGAAGTTAAAAGGCATCTTAGCTTTTATCATTTTCAAACTTTTCTTCATACAGAAGAACACCCTGTGACATAGATAAGTTAACTGAGATGATCATTAGCACTTTATAGTTAAGAGTTTGAAGCAAAGGGGTTAAGTGACTTGCCTACAGTTCATGTACAAAATCAGTGCTGGAACCAGGAAGAGAACTTGGACAGCTTTCTAGGAACTCATCCCTATCAACCATCCTTGAGATTATATACAATCTATTACATTAAAATAATAACTAGAGAAAGTTCGTGTAAACCCAATTAAGAACACAGTTCTAAATATTGACTGCTGTCTTATCACTTGGTGGGCATTTTGCAAATAATTATCACCTGTTTATAATCATCACTGCAGGTCATGGATTCTGTTACTCATTTTCTGAAGGGAAGGAAAAAATTCCTTTTAACCTACTTGGATTTTTAAAAAAATTTACTTAAAGCTTATTTTCATTCATAAAACATATGAATAATATAATTTCATATTTAAGATCATGGAAAGTCATGAAACTACTCCTTCTGTGCTGAAGATTCCCAGTAGAAGCCAAATAGTATTGATAAAAAATTTACTTAAAGCTTATTTTCATTCATAAAACATATGAATAATATAATTTCATATTTAAGATCACGGAAAGTCATGAAACTACTCCTTCTGTGCTGAAGATTCCCAGTAGAAGCCAAATAGTATTGAGAAAAGGTAATAAAGGGTGGTAGCCAACAGCAGTCAAAATCCAATCTCATTTTCTATATCTGTTAAGTTTTGATTATTCAGAGACTATGAGAAGGACACCCTTGTTTCTCAGAGAGTTAAAGGAGAACACTGAAATATAGCAAGAGCAAACATTTCAGTATTTGTGTTAACTTCTGACTTAAAGATTATTAAATTTCTAATAAACTACTCCTAATGTTTGTTTGACATTATTTCCAACTTACATGACTCTCTTAAAACCAGGTTTTGGCTGATGATGAAGAAGAGGAAATAGAATAAAAACAGAACTAAACTTGAAAGTCCCAACCTTCATCTCATCAGTAGCAGAGCATCACAAGTTCCTTCCAGATAATCAAAACATGATGATTCTCCCTCCAGAAAAGTTGCACCTTAGAAGTCAGATGGGGATGGAGTTCAAGTTGTACTGATGGATGTGTGGATTCTCACACTCACATGGAGTAGAGAACCAAGTTGCCTTCCCCCATTGGAAAAGCTCACTTCCAGTAGGGTGGTCAAATCCTGAGCTCATGAAGTATGGTTTTACATAAGATATTCTTTTTCTGCCTATGCATTTCGGAGGACACATGAAGTTAAAAAGGACAATTAGATATACCTGCACATTACTGCATTCATCAGAATGAATACCCCTAATTTTGGGTCCAGAGAAATATAATGGGTCACATAAATCAAAGTTGAACGTTTAACAGCATATACCAATAATCACAGTTCAGAAAATAAAGTAAAATGTGTAAGTCAGTTTCACTTGGACATAGTTAAACATTTCAGGGTAAAGCTTAAAAACATTACTATAAAATGAGAAGTTGAACACTGAATTTTACTGATACTTATGTATAGTCATTCATACTATTTCTAAAACAATTTCGTGTACAATTTTAAAAGGGCTATTAGCCCACATGCCAGGAAATAAATTCCTTGAATTTGTACTGACTTTAACAGGAAGAGAATATAGAAATTAAAAAAATCTCATTTACAGGTGTTTAAAATATGATATAGTCAAACATAAGTATAGAAATTTCTAATGTAAACAGTTTTTCTTTTGGGGGCCTGATATAGGAGTACACTCAAAAACAAAAACCTATTTTGAAAAATATGAAAACATTTCCCTCAATATTTATATGATATTTTATTTTGAAACTGTTGAAAAAAAATCAGTATAAGAATTTAAATGCAAATGATTTTTACAAAGTCTTCAGTTTTGGAAACTTATGTTATTGGTTGTAGCTCTGCAATGATGAAAATGGTATTTTACTATATACTCTAGCTGTACAGACATGCCTGTTAATGTTCTTTGTCTCACTTCAAAATAAAACACATCTATATTTTAGATTGTGTAAATATTAACAAAATATGTACAATGCATTCATGAAATATATGCAAGCATTCCATTATATAAACATGGAAAAAAGGTAAACATAATCAATTTAGAAATGAAGATGTTAAATAGATATAGCTATTGGAATCTAGAACAATGGACCCCTTATCCCTGTTCTTTCATAAAATAAACTGACCAATGCTTCCTTTGCAGTTGAATTTTGTCCAAGAAAAAAAACAAAAAAAACAACAAAAAAAATTCTCCTGGAATTTCTCATTGTCATAACCGACAGAAATGAAAATTTCATGTTAAAACTGAAAAAGTTATAAACCTGTTTAAACATAATCATCTCTGGGCAGATAGGAACTCAATAAATACTGGTTGATTGTTCACCTAAGACTTTTACTACTAAAATTTAAATAATACATCTAGACCGTATATATTCAATGAACTATTTTAATAAGACATTCATATTTTTTTACATTTTAAATAACCAGTTTGCTTATGATCTTTTAACTTGTAGTGAAGGAAAGTCACTAAGACAGTTCTCCGAGACAATACAAATGTGCATACAGAAATAAGCCCACAAGTTAGCAACATCTATACAAACACACTGGATAGTAAAATCAGGCAAATATGGAGTGCACTAAGTAGGTACTTTGGATTCAGTTGAGATGAACCTAAATACAAGATTTGTTTTGTGTTCTGCATTTTGAGCACCTGAAAACAAAAACAAAAACAAAACATGGGCCTGAAGTGCTGGGTATTTTTTTTTTTTTTGAAGGCAGTGCTATTTTTCTCAAATAATTGCAGGATGTTGAATTCTGGATGAAATCTTAGGCCAACATGTTTCTTTTCCTATGTTCAAGTTCTTGCTCCCTTGAGCAGAGAAATATGAAGGTCTCAAATAATTGCAGGATATTGAATTCTGGATGAAATCTTCGGCCAACATGTTTCTTTTCCTATGTTCAAGTTCTTGCTCCCTTGAGCAGAGAAATATGAAGGGTTGGAGTGATATTGTTTACATGTGTTTTGTTTATGCCCGGAGTGGAAATGTTGCTGTAGAACTTCCATTGCTTTCAACAGATCCTTTCTCCTTAGATCCAGTATAAGCTCCAATAAATGATCCATCTTCATTGAAGAGACCGTGGTCTCCCTCTCCATATTCGACTAAGCTGTCAGCACTTTCTGTGGCCTGCATGTCCCTATTAAGAGACCGAAGGCTTCCTTTGAGAGGTTTTTCATCACTGTCACTAGAAAACAAGACAGAATAGTTCAACAAAAACTGACATTCATGTTCACATAAAGCAAGACTTGTTCATAAGTGCTAATAGGTCTTATAATTTTCAGGACATTCAAATTAGCATGGAAGACAGGTATATAAAGCCCAAATAACACTTTCACAAATAAATGTTTAAAATGTCATGATCAATTTGCGTCATTCAGAGTAGTTAAGAAATGATTTTCTGTTATTCACAACACTTCTGCTTCCCTTTAAAATTGGGAGCTTTTGTGGAACATGTGGAGATTCAACCTGTTCACATACATAGCAGCTTGAATCCCCCAAAATTCCTATGTTGAAAGCTAGTCATCAAGATCGTGTTTCTAGAGGTAAAGTCTCTGAGAGGTGATTAGACCAGGAGGGTTGAGCCCTCATGAATGATATTAGTGTTCTTATAGAAGAGGCCCCAGAGAGCTGCCTCACCCATCACATGGGACACAGAGAGAAGCGTCCACTTTCTATAAACCAGAAAGTAGACCCTCACCAGACACCAAATCTACAGGCAACTTGATCTTAGACTTCCAGACTCCCAAACCGTGAGAAATAAATTTCTGTTGTTTATAAGCCACTTGGTTTATGGTATTTGGTTATAGCAGCTTAAATGAACTAAGAAGATAAATGTTATATTCCTTGCTTTCATAAACTTTTGGAGCTCCTGGCTCCAAAGTCTTGATCTTCTGTCTTTACTTTGGATCCTGTACATTCTCCCATATCCTTTCAAAAATTTCTCTTTTGTGTGGGTTAATCAATCAAATTCTGTTTCTTGAAACCAAAGAACTTTCTTTCATACAGTCAACAAACTCAGGTTTCTTAAATTAAGAAAAAAAAAGGAAATGTGTGATATTGTGATATTTTAAGAACACAAATACCATCATATACTGTACTTATAATGTGGGTTTTATTCTTCAACAAAAGCAATGCTGAGTTAATAAAACGTCAACAAAATGATACAATCATCTAAATTTCTAATCATGACTTTTTTAAGTACCAACTATTACTATTACACAATGAAGCTGTACATCAAATAAAATGATTTTATAAAATTTAAAAAAGGAAGAATTTGGAAAAAATATAATTAAAATGTCTATTGAGGTATTTATCAATGTTGTTCATCAAATATGTCTAGTTCTCAGCTTTCTGGGAACATGGCAGGTTGTACTTCTCTGCACATTCTGAGTTAGGCATCACCAGGTAACTTGTTTTGACCAAAGAAAAGTGAGTAAAGGTAACATGTTACTTCCAAGTTGGACAGAGCCAGTGCTTAATTTGTCCTGTTCCATCTCCACTGCTGTGGTGACCTAGATCCTCATTCAGCAGCCAATTCTCTTAAAGGCCTAAGATAACCAGAAAAATCTGTGTTGGACACACAACCAGAGGAAGAAAAAGGTTTTGGAGTTGTTTTGACAATAGCATAACAACCCTGACTGATATAGTAACTGGCTCAGAATTAGAATATCGCAGTTACAAAAACAAATCAAAAATAATAATGATAATAAAAAAGAAAGAAAAGAAAAGAAAAAAAGGAAAGGAAAGGAAAGCAAGAAAAGAAAAGATGTGGCATTAGCATAGGACCCAGGCAACAAGTAGTGCAGAGAAATAATGAAGAAACTATTACCAGAAATTAGAAGGATAAGAATTCATGTTACACAAGTATCTAGCAGAACTACCTCCTGGGATAAGGTGGAGAATAGACAATTTTCCTGATCAACGTGTAGTTTGGGGGAAAGAGGTTGGAAAACATTAATTACTATAAAGGGATGCCATATAAATAATGCAGGGGCTGGTGATACCTGTCTTTTTAAAGAAGCAACAGAGTATAGGGAAATAAGTTTTTGGCAAGGCATTTTAATTTTTTTGCCTATAAAATTGAACTAATACTAAGTAATAGTCTTTCAAAAGTATTTTGAACTGTTGTCATAGATCTCTAATGATCCCTCGTCAACAAAATGATACAATCATCTAAATTTCTAATCATGACTTTTTTAAGTACCAATTATTACTATTACACAATGAAGCTGTACATCAAATAAAATGATTTTATAAAATTTAAAAAAGGAAGAATTTGGAAAAAATATAATTAAAATGTCTATTGAGGTATTTATCAATGTTGTTCATCAAATATGTCTAGTTCTCAGCTTTCTGGGAACATGGCAGGTTGTACTTCTCTGCACATTCTGAGTTAGCCTGCACACTCTGAGTTAGGCATCACCAGGTAACTTGTTTTGACCAAAGAAAAGTGAGTAAAGGTAACATGTTACTTCCAAGTTGGACAGTTAGAGCCAGTGCTTAATTTGTCCAGTTCCATCTCCACTGCAATGGTGACCTAGATCCTCATTCACCAGCCAATTCTCCTAAAGGCCTAAGATAACCAGAGAAATCTGTGTTGGACACACAACCAGAGGAAGAAAAAGGTTTTGGAGTTGTTTTGACAATAGCATAACAACCCTGACTGATATAGTAACTGGCTCAGAATTAGAATATCGCAGTTACAAAAACAAATCAAAAATAATAATGATAATAAAAAAGAAAGAAAAGAAAAGAAAAAAAGGAAAGGAAAGGAAAGCAAGAAAAGAAAAGATGTGGCATTAGCATAGGACCCAGGCAACAAGTAGTGCAGAGAAATAATGAAGAAACTATTACCAGAAATTAGAAGGATAAGAATTCATGTTACACAAGTATCTAGCAGAACTACCTCCTGGGATAAGGTGGAGAATAGACAATTTTCCTGATCAACGTGTAGTTTGGGGGAAAGAGGTTGGAAAACATTAATTACTATAAAGGGATGCCATATAAATAATGCAGGGGCTGGTGATACCTGTCTTTTTAAAGAAGCAACAGAGTATAGGGAAATAAGTTTTTGGCAAGGCATTTTAATTTTTTTGCCTATAAAATTGAACTAATACTAAGTAATAGTCTTTCAAAAGTATTTTGAACTGTTGTCATAGATCTCTAATGATCCCTGGTTTTCAATGGTTTCTGCCTCATGGAATTTAAGCCTTTGTTTAATCCACTCCCCTTGAGTGTGGGCTGAACTTCCCAACTCACTCCTACAGAATATAACAGAAGCGATGGGATATCACTTCCAAAATTAGATTACAAAAAGACTGCGGCTTCCAACCTGGGTGCTTTCTCTTGCTTGCTTACAATCAGGGAAGCCAGCTGCCCTGTTGTGAGCTGCACTATGGAAAGGTCCACAGGGCATGGAATTAAAGATAACCTCTGGCCTTTAACAGTCTGTATGGCATTGAATTCTGCCAATAGCCACATGAGTGGCCTCGGAAATGCATCCTGCTCCAGGTGAGCCTTTAGATGAGACCATAGCCCTGGTCAAAACCCTGCTGAAACCTCAGGAGAGACCCTGAGCCAGAGGCACCCAGCTGAACCATACCCAAATTCCTGAGCCAAAGACACCACGAGAAAGATTCCTGACTCACAAGGTCTTTGAGATAATAAAAGTTTGTTGTTTTAAGCTGCTGAGTATTGGAGGTAATTGTTATAAGGCAACTGATAACTAATACAATAGTAATGAACACAATTTGTAAAGTTCCAAAATCCATCCTTCCTTCCTTCCTTCTTTCCTCCCTTTCTCCCTCCTTCCCTTCCTTTCTTTCATTTTTAAAGATCCTTATTCTTGAAAGAGTTTGAAGTTACTATCAAGAAATACAAAAATATAGGGCTGGCCTGGTGGCGCACTGCTATAGTGCGCCGCTTGGGAAGCATGGCGGCGCTCCCGCCGAGGGTTCGGATCCCACATACAGACCGGTTCCCACTCACTGGCTGAGCGAGGCGCGGGAGCACGAGGGTTGCGATCCCGTTGCCGGTCCCGGTCCAGTACGGGGCGACACTGAGGGTTGCGATCCGTTGCCGGACACGGAAAAAGACAAAAAAAAAAAAATACAAAAATATAAAAAGAGAGCATCGGGCCGACCCTGTGGCGCTCTCAGGAGAGTGTGGCTCTGGGAGCGTGGCAGCGCTCCCGCCGTGGGTTCGGATCCTATATAGGGATGGCCGGTGTGCTCACTGGCTGAGCGAGGCGCGGGAGCACCGAGGGTTGCGATCCCGTGGCCGGTCCCGGTCTAGTACGGGCACAACACTGAGGGTTGCGATCCATTGCCGGTCACGAAAAAAGACAAAAAGAAAAATAAAAAAAATAACAGCCTTGTTAGGGCTGGCCCGGTGGCGCACTGCTATAGTGCGCCACTTGGGAAGCATGGCGGCGCTCTCGCCGAGGGTTCGGATCCCACATACAGACCAGCCGCTCACTGGCTGAGCGAGGGGCGGGGGCAACACCCCGGGGTGCGGGCCCGC